CTTTATGAGGAATTAGTTCGTACCATTGAATATTAGACGCAATAGACAAGGTGTCACAGAAACCGATGTTGCTATAACCAAGTTTTACTGTATATATATATATATATCTTAACACTCAAAACACCTATTGTAATGGTGGTTTCCAAACTGTATCGATGTCCCTCTGATGTTGGTCTCTAAGGACCGAAACATGTAAGGGCATTAAAAATTGAAATATGAAAACCAGTCACACTGGATGGAACTGTTTTATCTTTTTATAATTTTTTAAAACTTTATAATTTTACACTGAATAAGTAGCCAAAAACACAGTGATCAAACAGGCTTTGAAATATACACTACATGTCCCTACTGTCAAGGTTGAAGTCAAATAGTCTGTTCTGAAATATTATTCTCTCTTGCAGAACCTATCTAGCTTTGTTTGTTTTGCTTGGCTTTCAAACAAGCATGAAGTAAAATTTTCCACTTCCAGAGGTTTCTGACAATTGTCTCTGGCACATGACACATGCCACTAAGGAAGCAGCTGTGCATGCTGGTCTCAGCAGTATTTCCTGGCATTTGGCCGTTCTCCTTTCAAAACAAGTTAGAAACTCCAAGAACAGTGCATAAGTTAGCCATACAGTACAGCTGCAACTATACATCGTTAAGGATTTCAAATGCTTGCAGCATCTTCACTCCTCTGACCTTCCAATTATTAACAATGACATCTTTTCTGATCGATTCATATCTGCACACACTAGCACAGTAATTCTATCTTTATTCCTTCTGCCCTTTGACAACTTTCATGTTTGAAAGCATATTGCCACGTGTTGGGTATGTCACGTGACAAATAACTTTACGTGGGTCTCAGATTTAGCGAATCTTTATTGGACACTCACACTTACACACCTTACAATTATTATCGTTTGCAATATCACTTGACTTCTGGCCCAATACTTCAATACGACATCTCAGCTGTCCTTGGCCGTGGCTTGATCCTGACTGTCTTCAGCAGCGGCTATCCCAAGACTAACTTCTTGCTGTCTTCTTCTATATCGTATGGCGTCTAGGTTCCAACTGACTTGGCAAATGCCTTCAACCCTTTTTATAACCTCGGCCACTGCTATGCAATGAACCCTCGTTATAACCGTGGAGACTCATCTCCGGGGAGATTCGGCATTCTCTATGCAACGACTCACTGTTAGAATTACAATACCGCTACTGTTACTTCCCATGCAACGGTCTGTTCTAGCGTTTCCATGGAAGTAACCCTTCTGGATTCCACACATGTGACAATATGTTCTTATCTAGGAGTAGGTTGAAAAACCCCCCACTCATCTGTATTAAATACATTTTTGATGGTATTCAGTCAGACATGATGGAAGCAATCCCATCATTTAGGCTCTTACCTCCTCTTCAGTTTCACTTTGGGATTCCCTTCTCCTTGTTCTGCAGCTAAGTTCTGCATGTATGCTGAATTGACTGAGCCATCCATTCAAAGGCGTGAATTCAATGTAGAGTTTTACGACTATTTCCTCTAACTTCTGCCTCAAAACCCTTGAACTGGTACATATAATCCCACTTTCTGCCTGACTCACTCTAAAAGCACTGAATCATCATCTCATATTAGAACTTTTTAACATTTTTTCTGCTTGGCTCAGTAGTTACACATCGCTGAAGTGTTTTTCTTATTTGGTATCAATAGTGTCATGTTATTTGTTCCTTCTTGATCATTTCCAGTTTCACAGAAACTGATAACCTTTTGCATTTTGCTTATTTTTGTAGTCATGTACATTGGTATACAGTAAGCCCTCATTATTCCGGTTACAGTTAATCCAGTCAAAATATGAATAATTCTGTTCACAGTTGAGTACATAATTTAAAAGCTATATGATTTAGGAGCAAGCAGGATTAGAGCAAGAGGACTTTTAGACTGTGCTGAGGGCAGCTGGAGAGACTGAAACCATGCATGAATATATCAAAGATTGGCTTGAGCTGGATGAAGGAGTCCCTGGATTTCAGCTTATTACAGACGAAGAAATTGCTGCAGTGATATTTTTTATTTTCATTGGCACTACCTGTTGTTATTAAATTTTATATTTATTTGTTTTCAAAGTTTTTTATAGGGATATCTTTGGCTTCATTAATCCAGCTTATCGGTTAATCTGGATGACCTCTCCCCTCATTAATTCAGATTAGCAAGGGTTTACTGTATATCTGTATATAACACAGGGTCAGTTTACTTTCACATAGCTTCACAGACTTCAACACAGATCTTCACTACATGTAACCTTGCACACAAAGATCATACTGCCAGCTAGATGGACGGAGAAAGTTTGAAAGTCATCAATAATTCCACCAGTGGTCAGCGTTCCTGGCTACAGATCCAGAGGTCCGGGTTCGATTCCCGGCGCTACCAGATTTTTTTCTGAGAAGTAGTGGGTCTGGAACGGGGTGCACTCAGCCTCGTGATGATAACTGAAGGTCTATTTCAAGGAAATAGTGGCTCCGGTCTAGGAAACCAAAATTAAGGGCCTTGGGGATTCATTGCACTGACCACGCGACACCCTCTATCTGCAAAAGTTGGCACCAAACTTCGCCAACAAGTGGCGGTTGCTTGGTTGGTACAGTTCGCTTGCGGACTAAAATCACGGAGTTTTTTCTATCACTCATTAAGCACTACAGAGTGCTATTAAGCCCTGCAACATGTATCACACATGTGAGTGTTTGCTTTGTTTCCCATCTGCTTCTCTATATGCTTAATATCATCCAACAAAAATATATTAAGGGGTAAAAAGTTCAACACATGTCTCTAAATTTGCTCTTGTTAGGTTGAATATCTTCTTAAGTGGGAAACGTTTTAAACACGATATAAATACATTCTTCTTATGGTATTACTTTCAGGACCAACAAATTTTAACTCTTTATATATTGGAAAACGTTTTAGGTAGGATCTTCTTAAGTGGGGATACACTGTATAACATAATTAGAACATAAAAACATATTTCCATTGTGGGGATAGGTACAGCCAATAAAACCAAATTTTATTATGTCTTACACACACCAATAAGCTTACCTTGGTGCAAGACTCTCAAATTCATCAAAGAAAATAACACATGGCTTAGCACTCTGAGCTCTGAAACAAGAAAATTTCACCATTTTCAGAAACTGCATCAATCAAGTGTACATATACATGATAATAGATACTATGAAATTTTAAAATTATTGTCTTCTGGGATGTAACATCAGGCAATTTTGTAGAGAGGTACTAATGCTTCAGAAACAAACCTGGAGCCTTTATCTATTATCCTGAAGATGGAGGGGTCAGATTCCTCTGAAACCTTGGTACCCATCTCCAAAATTATATGTCACATCCCAAAAGACTGTAATCTTGATAGTTATCGCAGTGAAAATCTCAGATCTCACATTTAATAAACCTCTCTCTGTTGATTCAAGTTACCAAGTTGTAACAAATTTCAAAACTACATACAATAACAGATGTGTGAGAGTGTTTACTAATTGTGACCATCTGTTGCAAACAAAAATGTCAGTATGTGTATTTCACAGCATACTGTATCTAGAATACAGAAATGGATGAATTAATATGAAGTCTTCTCACTAGCCAAAAAGGTTATGATGCAAGCATAAAAGTAATTAACATATCTTAAAAGCGCTGATTAAAACTATTCTTCTGGATTTTGACAATCATTCCAGTATTTTTAAACCATTACAATTCATAAATTAGTCCTATTTCCATGGTTAGTGTAGCTCTATCTAGGGACCCAATAGAGTAGGTTTTTTTCACCTGAAGAAGGAAATATAACCAATTTCCATAACACAGTTGTTTAAAAAACTTGATAATGGAAAGTCCAAAACAATAGTTTTAATCAACATCTCACACCACCATCAAAAAACTTTAATCTTAAATCAATATCATATTTAATTGTATTAATTGTATTATCAAGGCCAAAATGTTCAGGTTACAAGATATCAAGAGTTCACCCATCCCTGGCAGTATAAATTAATGTGATGGTCTTACTTTTGAAATATGTTTCTTACAGCTTCTTCACTTGCGCCAATATATTTTGACAGCAGCTCTGGACCCTAGAAACGAATCACATTATATTATTACATTACATGATTCTATTAATCTAATGCAGTACTTTTAAGTCAGCATAATGTTGATAGAATTTTCTGATTCAAGCTTAACGTTTTACTATCTACTTCTGACATAATATGAACCCTAACTGCAAACACGTAATAAGACTCATTAAAAAAAGTGAAATACATACTAAGATGGATTACTCCTTGATGAAGCTAGCGCTAAAATACTCACAAACATAACCTACAAGAAATGAATTATACATATTACTGATCTGTCGCTTCTCTTCATTTTCTGTGTCAAAGGTACTCAAAAGAAGAGTAAATTATAAGGGATAAGCAACATAGTAAAAACTGAGCTCAATGACTTTGCTAGAGTGGACCAATGAATAACACTGAATACACAATATACATATCTCTTCACATATGGTAGCGTAGTTGGCTGAGGCACTATGCTACAAGCTGGAAGATCGCAGGATCGAATCCCGATGATGTCATTGGATTGTTTTCAATTTACCTAATCCTTCCAGCTGCACTATGGCCCTGGGGTCGACTCAGCCTCTAACAGAAATAAGTACCAGAAATATACCTATGTCCAAAGTTGAACGGTTATGGAGATAATGGCCCGAGAAAAGTGTGTTCTTCTGGCGGGTCCACGCACTATACCTGTCAGCTGAGATGTCTTATCTATGTTTGTCCTTGAGTGTGGTGATTCACACTAGCCGTAAGCTCCCTTCAGTATATGTTGCGGCCGGGTCGTGAATGGTTGGTAGGTTAATTGTGCGGAGTTGCTGAAATGACTCATGTTTTCACACGTGGAATATTGTGATATGCATTTTGTGGATGGATTTTGCGGTGGCAATGCACGTGCTGCTGTTGAAGAATACCAAAGGCGTTTTCCCAATTGAAGGATTCCATCTTGAAGTGTATTTAGACGAATTCACCAGACATTGCGTGATACTGGTTCTCTTCCGAGTGTTTCTGTGCACTCTGAAAGGGAGGATGTACGAATGAGAAACATACGAGAGAACATTCTTGAGATTGTTCAGAGAAGTCCGCGTCTGTCCACTTGTAGAATGGCCTCTTGCATCAGCGTATCACGTATGTAGGTGTGGAGAACTTTACATGATGAAGAGTTGTATCCTTACCATGAATCAAAGGGTACAACATCTGGAACCAGGCGACCATGCACAGCGTATGGATTTGTGCCACTGGATAAAAGCTCATCCCGAACTGTTAAGCATCATTTTATTCAGTGATGAGGCGTCTTTTACCCTTGACGGTGTAAATAATTTACAAATTGTACATACGTGGTCCCATAACAATCCACATGAGATAATGGAAACGAAATTCCAAAAGATATTTTCCGTGAATGTACGTTTAATACAGTTATGTGGTCGGCTTATAGCACAGTCAGCCATGTTACGTCAGCGCTTGCCAGTCATGTGTCATGTATAGTGCTTGGAAACCTAAGGACAATTATGACATGGCGAGCGAGTATTTTGTACTTCAATTTTATGGCTCACTCACAAGTTAGTCTGATGTTACGTACTTTATTCACATTACAGAAACCACATATTCCTGCCAGTTTTAATAAGCATTTTGTAATTAACAAGTGTGTAACACCGGTCAAAGTTTCACACTTCTCTGGCCATTATCTCCGTAACCGTTCAACTTTTGACATAGGTGTTTTGGGTTATATCGGCATACTTTAACATAAGGAACACCCTCCCGAAGTTTGGCACATTCCTCCTGGTACATCCTGTACAGTATGTTTCACTTTTCTACTAATGTTTGTGTGCTGTGTTTTGTTTGAACGTGTTTATGTGTGTTATTTTCTGTTGTCTTATTGTAGTAGCACTGCCACTGGGTGAAGACCGGTTTGCAGTTAAATAATAGTAACAGTAATAGTAATAATAACAATAACAATAACAATAACAATAACAACAACCATAATAATAATAATAATAATAATGATTCAGATTTTCATGAGCAAATATTTTCCTCATTGCACTGTATTCTGATACAGACTGAGGGTGTTTGAAAACAGGGTGCTGAGGAGAATATTTGGACCGAAGAGGGATGAAGTGACAGGATGTTGGAGAAAACTGCATAATGAGGAGCTTCATAACTTGTATAATTAAAATGATCAAGTCAAGGAGGACGAGGTGGGCAGGGCATGTAACATGAATGGGAAGAAGAAGAATGCATATAAGATATTGGTAGAAAAGCCAGAAGGAAAGAGACCACTGGGAAGACAAAGGTGCAGGTGGGTGGACAATATTAAAATGGATCTTAGATAGATAGGATGGGATGGTATGGATTGGATTGGTCTGGCTCAGGACAGGGATCAGCGGAGGGCTCTTGTGAACATGGTAAATAAAATGCTGGGAAGTTCTTGAGTAGCTGCAGAATTGGCTTCCCCTCAAGAAGGGCTCAGCTCCATAAGTACTATTTTTTTTTCCTTATTGCTAGTGGGGTGGGACTAAGTCCTCTGTACTGCGGCCACTTCTGGCCTATTGTACCGGCCCCAGATGATAGGTTAGGGTGATTGTGGAGCAATTGGTGGAATGAAGATTGGCAGGGGAAACCGAAGTACTCGGAGAAAACCTGCCCCAGCGTCACTTTTTCCACCACAAATCCCACTTGACCAGACCCGGGATCGAACTCAGGCCGCCACAGTGGGAAGCCAGTGACTAACCGCTTGAGCTATGGCACGGCCTAAATAAGTAAGTAAGTATGTAACTAAGTACTGTTTTCTGATGCAAAAATACAATTTGCAAACTATAAAACAAAAATGATAAAAAATATGAACTTCTGTATAACCCCAAGTTTAACTGAATGTAATTCTATTACCAAGGCCCACAAAACATGAATTCAAAATCACAAATTAATATTATGGTATAGAATTTCCTTTATTTGTAATAAAACATCTATCACATACATTTGTATCTTCCAGGTGAGAACAAATTCTGTCATTGAATACAATGTTCCTGTGTATGAACACAGATGCCCCACATCTAGTATGCTAACCACATCGGTAAAATTATAATGAAAGACAAAATTTATAAAAGTGATGATCCTGGAGAGACTAAATTTATCATCATGTAGATTATGTACCTTAATACTGATAAATTTCAGACCACACTCCTTTGCTACTGCACCAGCCAGCAGGGTTTTTCCAGTACCTGGGGCACCATACAACAGCAAACCTGACTGCAGACGTAGTGGAGCATGTTCAAATATTTCAGGATACTGGAAACACACAACACAATATTAAATTTAATCATCTGGGCACAGGGATTTTAAATTCTTTGGCATTACAGGGCTGGTGGCTGGAGAGTAATAGTACTGAAAAACATAAAAATCAGACAGTTTGACCATGTGCACATGCAAGGCAGAGCCAACGTAGGTCAATAACAAAAATCAGTCATTAGACTGTGAACCAAATTCCAGCTAAAAATAATCTATGTACAAATATTCAGAAGGAATAGAATTTTAGAATTTTCATCTGTTTCATGGTTTATATAGTAATATTCTAATCAGCAGAGACCCAAGGTTATCTTCCTTACTTGTGGCCTTAATTACACAGAAGTCAATATGATACAGTAATCCATCTCCAACGATGGGGATTATATTCTTGAAAAGCACTATGACTGGCAAAACTAAAACTGGGACAACCATGGACTTTTGCACGACTGGTGGTCAGACTGACTGCAGCCACTTTTTTTAACACTCATCAAAGCCAAATTAAGTTTCATGTTCATCCATTAAACATAAAAATATCTAAAAACATCTTTGTGCGTTCCTGTTTCAACCCTTTGGCGATCAGTGAGATGGCTGACCAGAAGGAACAAAGAGTGTGCGTGAAATTTTGCTTTCTGTTAGGGAAAACTGCACTTCACTCTTCAAGTTGTGGCAAACATTCACGCGGTTTTCTCTTTGGTCATCTCCAAGCGAGCGAGGAACAAATTTTGCAGACACCTGTCTCATGTGCAAACCTTCGGTTAAAATTCGCTGGACCGTGCTCCATGAGATGTTCGTTTCCTCAGAAAGTTGGTCAATGGTCTTTCGAAGATCTTCATCAATTGCACGTTTGATTTTGTTTGATTTGTTCCTTCTGGTCGGCCATCTCACTAATCGCCAAAGGGTTGAAACAGGAACGCACACAAAAGAGCACCACAGACAAACCACTTAACTCAGACTGACGCCAGCTCACTAACAGTCGCGGGAGACCCCCAGCTAACACCACCTAGCAGCACAACTCGTAACTACAAAGCATGCACGCGCAACAGGTCGTTTCCGGTTATTTTTGGGTCCCCCCTCGTATGTGGCTCTCTTTGTATGAAAGTCATCAATTTCTTGCATGTGTACACAAATTAAACCAAATACAACTGCACAGTCAAAAAGTTATTAAAAAACATGGATATATAAATCAATAAATAAGAACACAGTGGCATATACGAGGGTTGGAACTGTAATAGCGGCAATACTGCTGTAAAGACGCCATGCAATGGAACCAAATAATGTCGCTTATACCACACGTTACTTACATACCTACCATACCTCAGAACAAATGGACTCTCCCTTTCCACATCGCGTGCATGCACAGTGACGAGAAGAACAGAGCCTTGTGTTCGCTGGCGGTCTAATTTAGTGTTGCCGTGATTTTTTTGAAACAGGAACAACAGAGATGGATAAAGATTGAATGTGCCAGAGGCCATACAGCACGACAGTGTCATCAAGGTCTTCAAGAGGCTTGCGGGGAATCTGCATTGCCTTACAGAACAGTGGAAAGGTGGGTAAAAGCCTTCAACGAGCGATGCCAAAATGTGGCAGATGTGTGTCGGCCAGGTCGTCCTAGTGTCAGTGAGGAAGAAGTGTATGCTCTTTCTGCGTTACTGGAGAGTGACTGACGCCATATGATTCGTGAGCTGGCCCGAGGGACAGGATTAGCGCATACAACTGTGCTTCACATCCTGAAGGAACACCTGGGCATGCGAAAAATTGCATCACGATGGGTTCCACATGATTTGATGGAAATGCAGAAATGGCTATGATACGACACTGCTTGTAACCACTTGGAGTGCTATGAGCGCGAAGGAGAGGCTTTCTTATGCTGTATCATTACACTGGATGAGACATGGGCCAAATCGTATGAGCCACAAATGAAACGCCAATTGAATGAATGGCGTCATTACGGGTCACCACAAAAATCAAAAGTTTGTCAATGTGAAAGTTATGGTGATTCTCATGTATGACTGTGATGGTATTATCCTAACGCAAACTATTCCCCAACAGCAGACCATCAATGTGCAGTATTACTGTTCATTTTTGGAACACAACCTGTGATCAGCTTTGAGAAAGAAGTGGCAACACTTTCTGCAGAACCCACCTATAATTTTGCAGGACAATGCTTGGCCGCATGCAGCTCAAGCTGTGGCTGATTTGTTCGATTGATGGGGCTGGGAAATGCTGTACCATACGCCATACTCCCCGGACTTAAGCCCTTGTGACTTCGACTTGATTCCTAAGATGAAGGAACAACTTTGTGGCATTTGCCTCAGAACTGTTCCAGAGATTCTTCAGGCAGTAGACCACTCCATTTGAACTATCAACACAACAGGCACTGCTAAAAGTATCCTATGACTTCCACATCGCTGGCAATGGGTTGTACACAGCGTTGGTGACTACATTGAAGGACAGTAAAACTTTGAAACTTGCATTTATTTTGTACCAGTTGTAAATAAACAGCTGCCACTATTAAAGTTCCAACCCTCATACAAACTGACATTCTCAGACTGCAAAGAGTCACACAATGGGTGGACAGGATGTTCCTTAAGAATCAGATACAAAGAACACATACATAACATAAGATACAATAGGGAGGATTCAGGATTTGCTGGATATATACTGAAAAATATATATCATTATGGCAAAACAGAGGACATTATGGAAAATATGGACACACAAGAAAGGGACAAATAATGAACATAAACAACTTTTACATGTATTCACATAAGCTCAATAACAAGTTAACAGGTGAACAGAAAGCCAACGACAATAAACATAAAAACATCCTATTCGATGCAGCCTCAGAATACATAGACCCACCCTCACAGACAGTGTACCCACACACACATACTTGTACAAGGTACCTGCAGTTCTATAGTACTGCATATCAGTTCACTATGGATGTTGTCTTATGGTGATATTATATTGAATGTAGAAATAAGTTGTGTGCATAAGAGAGATGAAGTTATGGGAAAGATGAATAATGGAAATAAGGGAGATTATAGAGATATTTTAGATGTGGAGCTAGATTTGGAAGAATTATGTGAATTTAGGCACATGGCAGTCCATCCGCATGTGAGAGAGGTTATGAATGCCTTGACAGTGAAACTGGAACATGAAGTAAAAATAAGGAGTAGTAACAATAAAGGACTAGAAGCTCCGAGAACTGAATGGATTGAGGTAGCTGTTGGAATAAGAAAGAGGAATATTTCACATAACATTACATACTCTTCAGAATATTCCAGTCATAAATACTAAGAAAATCAACAGAGTACAACCGCCACAACACAAAGAAAAAGAGTATATTAGGCGATCCGATGTTTATGGAAAGTCTTGCTACATCGGAATTAGCAAAAGGAAAAATAAATATAAAACACAAAATGGTGCTATTTGGAGACAGCCATGCCAGGGGCTTTGCTAGTAAATTACGGGAGACATTTAAAGAACAATTTGAAGTGACAGGCTATGTTACACCTGGAGCAAATGTCAAAGTATTGACTAAAACTGCACAGCAGGACAGGAAAGGACATGCTCATATATTGTGGAGGGTCAAATGACATTATGAGGAATAACATCTCAAGAGGAATTAAGTGGACACATCATTTTTTGTTGGGGAATCAACACACCAATATCATAAGTATAGGTGCCCCCCATGGGCATCATTTGATGGAAACACCAATAGTTAACGAGGAGGTTAAAGTTTTTAATAAAAAGTTGAATGATATTACCAACAAATATAGGCAACGACTATGATGCACACAGACCTAGAAAGAGAAGATTTTACGCGTCATGGACTACACATAAGAAACTCAGGTAAAGACAAGCTAGTAATGCTACTAATGGAAAAAATTGAAATGCAGCTGCAGGAAATACAAATTGGAATGCCGATTAGTCTAACATAGAAGGAGGATGCAACAATAACCTCAGCTGATGATCAGGGAATAGCCAGTGTAGCGTCGCAAACTATTCCCCCTAGAAGACGTCCGAAGATCCCAAATATGAGAAGTGAGGATTTTTATGGGAATAACTCAAAATGGAAACAACAGTCAGCAGAATTCTCTTGTCATATATCATCAAAATATAAGAAACATTAGAAATAAAAAAGAGGAATTAGTTATTTTTTTTTAAATGATGTGGCGTGACCAGAGTGGTTTGAATGGCTGTTGTACTGCGAGGTGGAAAGCAAATAGAAAAACTACCACATTATCACTTTTCCTGGATAGTCTCTTTCCAAAAACAGAGATACCAAGTATGCGAGATGTTTCCTCTGGAGACAAAACAATCCGGAGGCAAACTACTCCCCCAATCGGATCTCCGGGGGGGGGGAGTGTTTCTAGAGGAAATGTCACGCAGGCGTTACAACAAGAAAAAGTGCGAAGATCAGAAGGAACATCATGGCTACAAGATTGGAACATGGAATGTAAGGACCTTGAATCAATCAGGCAAATTGGAGAATTTGAAAATGGAAATGGAGAAGAATGAGGTGTCTGTTCTAGGTGTCAGTGAAGTGTGGTGGAAAGGACAAGGTGAAATAAGAAGGGGTGATTATACGGTGTATTATTCCGGAGGTGAACGGGCTGAAAGAGGTGTGGCAATAGTGGTGCATAAAAGTGTAGTGAGGAGTGTTGTTAAGAAGATTGCTTGTAATGACAGAATTATTGCTCTGAAGTTAAAGGCGGAACCGGTAGATATACTGATTATACAAGTGTACATGCCAACATCAGAGTATGAAGATGATGAAGTGGAAAAAGTGTATGACACAATTGAAGAAATTCTTCAGGAAGATGGAAGAGGAGACACAAACAGCATCATATTGGGAGACTGGAACAGCATTGTTGGAGATGAACCATATCAGAATATTGTTGGATCACATGGACTAGGAAGACGGAATCACAGAGGTCAAATGCTTATTGACTTTTGTGAACGAAATGGATTGATTGTTACCAACACTTGGTTCAAGA